CTACCAGAGCCATTAGCAATCTTCCTTAAATACAAATCTGATCACTTCACTTTCCAATCTAAAACCTCCAACGTGTTCCATCCTTAACAAGGCCCAAAGAGGCTAAGGTTAGGGTTAGGGTTGGGGTTAGGGCTTTCTGTTTTTTTTTTCCCCAGCATTATCTCACATCACTTTGTGTGTGTTTGTGTGTGTGTGTGTGTGTGTGTGTGTGTGTGTGTGTGTGTGTGTGTGTGTGTGTTGGACTCTCACTCTGTTGCCCAGACTGGAGTGCAGTGGCCACTCCCGGCCACCGCAGCCTCGACCTGCTGGGCTCCGGCGATCCTTCCGCCTCAGCCTTCCAAGTAGCTGGAATTACAGGCACGCGCTACCACGCCAGGATAATTTTTTGATTTATTGTAGAGATGAGGTCTCTCCTGCCCAGGCAAGTCTCGAACCCGCGGGCTCAGGCAATCCACTCACCTCAGTCTCCCAAAGGCGAGGGATTACAGGCTGAGCCACCAAACTGGCTATCTCACATCACTTTCTTTTGATGATTCAGCTCCAGAAACAGATTGCAGTACCTTCCATATTTCTTCTTTCCAAGAGATCTCTATTTAGACTATTCTCTCTGCCTTTTTGACTATCCTTGCCACACCCCTTCTAGCCCCCACTGCTTTCTCCCCACCTGATAACCATACTCTTTGTATTTTAGTCATGCTGCTCACTGACTTGAAGAAAGTTTCCCTGATTTTCCTACACTAGGTCATAGTCTTCTAATGTAACCTCTCATGCCATCCTTCAGCTCTCCTTAATAGTACATATCACTGGTAAATGGTATATTTAAAGATCAATTATTTGTTTGTTTGTTTGTTTGAGTTGGAGTCTCACTCTGTCACCCAGACTGGAGTGCAGTGGCCACTCCTGGCCACTGCAGCCTCGACCTGCTGGATTCCGGCGATCCTTCCGCCTCAGCCTTCCAAGTAGCCGGAATTACAGGCATGCACTACCACATCCAGCTGATTTTTTTATTTATTGTAGAGATGAGGTCTCATCAAGTTGCCCAGGTGGGTCTCGAACCCGTGGGCTCAGGCAATCCACTCACCTCAGCCTCCCAAAGGCGCGGAATTACAGACTGATCCACCGAGCCTGGCTAAAGATCAATTATTAACTAATGTTTGTCTTTCTGTCTATGTGGCCAGCATCAGGAAGGGATCATGTTTAGTTTTTCACCATTGCGCCCTGAATGTTTGTGTCATCCTTCCCAAATTTGTATGTTGAAGCCTGAAACCCCAATGTGACTGTGCTTTATTCTGCTTGGGCTACTGTACCAAAGGAAGGTTGAGTATCCCTTTTCCATACTTGAAATTGGAAGTGTTTTGGCTTTTTGGATTGCTTTGAGTTTTGGAATATTTGCATTATACTGATTCAGCATCTCTAATCCGAAAATCCAAAATGCTTCAAACCGAAACTTTTTGAGCACTGACATGATACTCAAAGGTCATGTTCTAAGGTAATGCTCATTGGAGCATTTTGGATTTTGAATTTTCATATTCAGGGTGCTTAACCTGTACTGTAGACTGGGTGGCTTAACCAACAGAAATTTATTTTCTCATGGTTCTGGGGGCCAAAAGGTCAAGACCAAGGTGCCACATGGTCAAGTTCTGGTGAGGACTCTCTTCCAGGCTTGCAGACACCACTCTCTCTTTGTGATCATACATGACCTTTCTTTAGTGTGTGTGCATAGAAAGAGATCTCTCTTACTCTTGTTATAAGTTCACCACTCCTATTTGATTAGGCTTACACTTTTATGACCTCATTTAACCTTAATTAACTACTAAAAGCCTGACCTCCAAATATAGTCACATTGCGAGTTAGAGCTTCAACATATGTATTGAGTGGGGGAGGGGGCAGAATTCATTCCATGGTAGACTGTGTCCAGAGATAGGATCTTTAGAAGGTCATTAAGATTAAATAAGGTCATAATAAGAAGCCCTAGTCTGATTGACCAGTGGCCTTATAAGAAGAGGAAGAAAGAGCCTCTCTTTCCCTACTACCACATAAGGACACAGGGAGGAGGTGGCCTTTGATTATCCAAGAAGATGTCCCCACCATACCTGACCATGGCACCCTGTTCTTGGACTTTTAGCCTCTAGAACCGTGAGTAAATAAGTGTGTTTATTTATTTATTTATTTTTTAGTTGGAGTCTCACTCCTTCGCCCAGGCTGGAGTGCAGTGACACGCATGCTCATGGCCACCCCAGCGTCAACCTGCTGGGCTCCAGCGATCCTTCTGCCTTAGCCTTCCAAGTAGCCAGAACTACAGGCGCACACTACCACGTCTGGCTATTTTTTATTTTATTGTAGAGAGGAGGTCTCATCAAGTTGCCTGGGCTGGTCTTGAATCCACAGGCTCAGGCAATCCATTTGCCTTGGCCTCCCAAAGTGCTGGGATTACAGGCTGAGCCACTGAGCCCGGCCAAGTGTGTTTATTTTAAGCCAACCAGTCTGTGATATTTTCTTGGGGCAGCCCACACTAAATATACCTTTGGTGTTCAGTGTAGGTAGCCAATGGTTTTTCTGTAAATTCTGTTGAATGAATGGATGAATAAATAGCGAGATGAATGAATAAATGAATGATTTAATATTGATAGACACATGTGGGTCCTTCTCTTTGAAGATTCCAGATTATGACTTGTTCTTAACTTTTGACCACTCTTACAATTTTGAGAAATCATTTTCCTCTGAGTTTAAGGAATGAAAATTGAGAATGATTCTGCTTCTCAGAATCTTATTGTAGCCTCTTGCTGTAGGATATTCATCACAGGCTTGGAGTAGGGAATCCATATCTGGGATCTTCTTGGTTTACCTTTAAATTGACCTAATTGAGTTATCTAGGGAGAAAGATAACAAGAGAGGTGAGTGAGGTAGCTACAATGCCACCACATGGTTTATTTTATTTATTTATTTATTTTGAGTTGGGGTCTTACTCTGTCGCCCAGACTGGAGTGCAGTGGTACACTCCCAGCCACCGCAGCCTCGACTTGCTGGGTTCCAGCTTTCCTTCCACCTTACAAGTAGCTGGAACTACAGGCGCATGCTACCACACCCAGCTAATTTTTTTTTTTTTGAGTTGAAGTCTCACTCTGTCACCCAGACTGGAGTGCAGTGGCCGCTCCTGGCCACTGCCGTCTCAACCTGCTGGGCTCCGGCGATCCTTCTGCTGAGACTTCCAAGTAGCTGGAACTACCACGCCCGGCTAATTTTTTGATTTATTGTAGAGATGAGGTCTCGCCAAGTTGCCCAGGTGGGTCTCGAACCCGTGGGCTCAGACAATCCACTCACCTCAGCCTGCCAAAACGTGGGATTACAGGCTGAGCCACCGATCCTGGTTTATTTTTTTTTCTAGTAATCATAGATTTCTCCTGTGTCCCTAAAGACTGGACCTCTCATGGAAGAACCAAAACAGCCATTTAGGTATGACTTACTCTGCAGACACATCTGTTTAAGCAGATAAGCTTTTCCTGGGAAAACAGAAGCTCCTTATAAATGGATATCAGAATGTTTAGGAGCCTTCATTGTCCGTCTGATGAAATCCCTTCAAAGAAATAGAAATCTTTGGCACATCCCATCTCTTGGCAGCAGACAGCAGGTAGCTCAACCTGAAGAAGAAATTTCCTAGCCTCTAGAGAGGTGGAGGGAGGGCTGAGTTTGAAGATTTCAAAGTCAGTGTTCTCTTTGGGAATTTCTCAGAACAAAGGCACTGAGGCCATTCAGCAATTTTCCGTTTCTTCTTTCTGGTTTTTTCTCCTTAGCTTTTATGTTGCCTCTTTCCTTCCTTCACTGGCTTTTCTGTTATTTTTTTCTTCTTTTATCTTCCACCTTTTTCTTTTTGCCCTTCTGACTTCACTTTCTCCACTCACTGGAACGTTCTACCAGTCTTAATTTTGAAACTTTGTGGGAATGGGGCTACTAAAAGATCATTGGAGGATATTGTTGCAAATGGTACATTGGACAAGGGCTTAGGAGGCTTGATTCTGCCACTTCCTAGGTTAAAGCAGGTCATATATAGTGTTTGGGAGTCTCAACTTCCCCTCAGTAAAATGGGGATATGGTTCTAGGTGATCTACATATCCACAGTATTGCAGTTTCCTCTCCCAAGACATTATGTGACCTTCACTGCCACTGACCTGGTTCAGACTACAATTCTTTCTGGCTGGCTACTGCAAGAGTCTCAGCACTGGCCTACTTCCCTGCATCAGTTTGCATTCCTCATACTCTAGTTAGTAATTTTGTCCAAAGTTATTTAATTTGGACATGTTAGTTTCCTGGTTAAAACTTTTCAGTATTTGCCATTAGGATAAAATCCAAACTTGTGAATATAGTTTTCAAGGTGTCCTTATCTTTCTAGCTTCATCTCCTAAAACCCCCTCTTTGTGAGCTTCTTTGCAGCCATAATGGACTTTTTTCTGTTGCCCAAGCACCACGCTATTTCTGAGTTCAGATCATCACACATGCTTTTCTTTCTGCCCAGGATACCATCTTTCCAAAACTGCTTCCTACCCAACCCTGACTCTACCTTCTTTGCCAATTCCTATTCATCCTTAGAATCTCAGCCTAAATATTGTCTCCTCCTGAAAGCCTGTCTTGACTCCAAGATGGGTGAGATGACCCTTTTTGGCACTCTATAATCTCATATCACAAAAATATTGCACAGCTACAGCATTGAATTGTCAGCATATGTGTCTTACCAAACTAAGAATTACTTGAATAATGAATTGTGTCTAACTTTTCACCACCATATCTAAAGGACTTAGAGCAGTGCTGGGAATATAGGAAGTGTTAAATGCATAGATGAGTAACCCAAGAGATCCATCTGTGCTTAGACTAATAGCTTGTGATTCTGTATCTTCAATGGGTCAGGGTCAGGGAGGGAGTTTCAGGGACTCAGGGTCACTAGGCCCAGTCCTCCAGGGGCTGAGTATGGGCCTAGCCCTAACCTCAGCCCCATTGCCACCCTGTAGCAGCAGCTGAGGCGACCCAGGAGACAGTGGAGTCCCTGATGCAGAAGTTCAAGGAGAGTTTCCGCGCTAACACACCCATCGAGATCGGTCAGCTGCAGCCAGCCTCACGCAGCACATCAGCAGGGAAGCGGAAGAGGAGGAGCAAGTCTCGAGGTAGGCTCTCCTGGAAGCTCTTGCCAGGAAGTCAGAGGTCTGTCCCTGGTTCCAAAGATGCCAGGGAGAGCTATTCCCTCTTCTCTTGTTTTCTTGTAGTCATAGAAAATACGCTACCCCTTCCCTGATAAATCCCCTTGGAGAAAGCAGATCTGTGCTCCCTACGTCAGGAGCTAACTAACCTCTCTGAGCCCAGTTGCCTCATCAGAGAATGGGAATGGATCCTGCAAATTTTACAGTGATTGAGAACAGTAGCAACAATATGTGGTAAGTGTCAAGCGCCAGGACCTGTTTATAGTAGAAGTTCTTTAAATGGTAGCTGATATTATTCTGGAGAGTGCAAAAGAAGAACGTTCTTTTTTTTTTTTTTTTTTTAATCTAGTTTTTGTCCCTCATTCCTGGCACAGAGTTTTTCTTTTTTTTTTTTTTTTGAGTTCGAGTCTCGTTCCATCGCCCAGGATGGAGTGCAGTGGCACACTCACAGCCACCCCAGTGTCTCAGTGTCTACCTGCTGGGCCCTGGTGATCCTTCCTCCTCTGCCTTCCAAGTAGCTGGAACTACAGGTGCACACTACCATGCCCAGCTTTGATTTATTGTAGAGACAAGGTCTTGCCAAGGTGCCTGGGCTGGTCTTGAACCCATGGGCCCAGGCAATCCTCTCGCCTCAGCCTCCCAAAGTGCTGGGATTACAGGCTGAGCCACTGAGCCTGGCCAAGAAGAACATTCTAATGGAAGATATACTCAGGCTGGGAGCTAGGAACAAGGATCTGGGCTCACTCTTTAGTAGGCTGAATCACATAATGGTCAAGAACACAGGTATTACATAGTCAGAATACCTCTGATTTGAATCAGATAGAATGACATTCAATTTTGGTTTTGCTATTAGCTATGTCACCCAGGGTACTCTACTTCTCCAACTCACTCCTATTTCACAGAATTTTACACTATCTTAGCAAAGTGCTGAGCCCAGCATTCATTAGAAAGCAGATATTTTCTTTCTGCTCCTGCTTCTCTTCCCTCTTTTCCCTTCTCTCTTCCTACAGCATTGTCTTCTTTTTCATCATCATGACTGCCATCATTTTAATCATTGTCATCATCATCTTCATTATCATCACATTCATCACTGTCTTTATTATCATCTCCATTGTCCCCATCATTCCCTGATCATCTGTGTGACTTTGTATGTGGAAGGAACCCACTTGTCGTTGCCTAATTTCCAAACTTCATATTTTTTGTTTGTTTCAGTCTACTAAGTAGTCTCCAGCTGTCCCTTCTTGTTCCTTGCTTTTCTGTTTTCTATAACTTGGCTTGTGTCATGTCATCCGCCTTCTCCCACAGCTTCAGGGGTTAGCTAGCACCTTCAGACATGTTGATAGACTACTGTTTATGACCTTTAAAGCCACACCAATCTCTAATCTCCACTGTGTTTTCTAAATCCACATGTTCTGCCCTCTGTGTTCTTTCTCATGCCATTCTCTCTGTCTGAAATATCCTGCCTGGCCTTCAAGAATAACTGTCAATAAGTTGTCAACTTATTCCTAGCAGCAGACTAAATGATATATACATTTTATCTCATGTGATCTTCATGGCAACCCTATGAAGCAGGTAAAATAGTAATTCCCTTTTTACAGACAACCCCAATAAGGCACAGAGAGCTGTAGTAACGTGCCCAAGGATACTCTCTAGTAAGTGGTGGGGTCAGGTAGAATCCAGCAGTCTTATTCTCAAACCTTTTAACCCAACCACTGTGTTCTACACTATGAAATCCTACCTGTCTTTCTAGGCTTAACATGAATGGCACATTTCCATAAAGACATCACTGATTGTCACAGTTACAATTCACCCTGAATCCTTCCAGCCTTTCTTTACATGAGTTAAGCACTGGTTTTTGTGTAATATAATATGCTTTTGTCTGGCTCTTTGCTTAGCTAGACAGAGAGTTTTTGAAGATGGGGATTGTCCTATTGTTTGAATCATCTTTACATTCCTGTTCCTAAATCATTGCCTATACATAGTAGATGCTTGCTATCTGTTGTGAGGCTGCCTAGGTGTTAATCCTGCAAAATCCTGAATCCTGTATAAAAACAAGATGTACATGTTACTTGAAATCATAAATTGAGGCAGAAGGAAATGATGAAGAAATTGTTGAAACTCAAGTGGGAAATTCTTTTATTTTTTATTTTTATTATAAAGATGTGGGGTACAATTCAGGGTTAGGTATACAAATGTTGATTATGCAGGTACCCTTGTTGATGAGGCATGCCCTTCCCTCCTCTAGCAGTTTGTTGCAGCTCTATTCACAATAGCAAAAACATGGAACCAACCAAGTTGCCCATCAAAGCTGGACTGGATAGAAAAAATGTGGCACATATGCACAATGGAATATTATGTAGCCATAAAGAAGACAAACATATGGACTTTGTAGCAACATGGATGGATTTAGAGTGGATCATACTCAGTGATCTGTCACAGAAACAAAGAATGGAGTACCATATGTTCTCACTCATAAGCGGACCTTGAAATTGTTTAGAACCACTATATAGTGATAATCAGCAGTTGCCTTGAAGTCAGAAAGCTCTGAGTGCAAATCCTCGCCCACTCAGTTTCAACTTACAAGGCTTTGAAAGAGTTATTGGCTCTCTCTGAGACTTAGTTTCCTTGGCTGTAAAATGGGGATGCCAATCCCTACATCAAAAGATTGCTTTGAGGATCTGATAAAATGATGAATGTAAGCCACCTTGGAAAGTTCAGATAGCATGTATTAGGAACTGAATAGATGTTATCATATGTTTGTTCTGGGTTAGGCATTCAGAGTCACTTGAAATTCTACTCAGTCTTTCTTATCCATCTTTATACTTTCTTTATATTTTTGCCATTCACAAGAATTTCCCTCATATATCCTCTCTACACCTACACATAAACACACTTTACTCTCCAATCCTTAAAATGTACTCACTACTAACCAGAATTCATTTTCTTAGCATAATGTCCTAAACATTTTTAATATCACCAAATTTTTCAAAAATATTTTTTTGTGTACCATAATTTTCTTAACCAAGCTCTCACTGTCAGGCATTTGAGATGCTTCTAATATTCCATCATTGTAAACAATAGCACATATAAGGGTTTTTTGCATAAAACTTGGCTTTTATTTTAAAATCTATTTCTCTCTCTTAGAGAAGAATTTCAGAGTGAGATTATTAATGAAAATCTGTTTCAAGTTATTTTAATTTACAAGTTAGATGAGGTGTCAGAGATCTATGCATAAGGAAATTCGTTATCTTATGAATTCAGTATCTTATCAATGTGTATCAAAGATATCCTCCCTTTCTTTGCTACCATTATAACCTGGTCATTTCTTACCATCTCATTGCAACTGTACCTTCCTTGTTATTTAGTCTCCCCAAAGCAACCAAAGTAATCTTTTAGTAATCTTTTACTACTATCGGCTACATCAACCAAATCTTTTACTACTATCGGCTACATCAACCAAAGTAATCTTTTAGTAATCTTTTACTACTATCGGCTACATCAACCCCCTCCCTTTTTTTTCTTTTTACTTCTTTCATAATAGTAGTTTAGTCAAAAATTTGTATTTTTTGCATGTTTACTACCCCCTTCTCTAAAATATCAACTTCATATTTATAAACCTAATACAATAAATTGCTTAATAAATATTTGTTGAGTAATGAGTATTTTAACATCAAAGATCACTGGAAAGTGGCTCAGTTTTATACCTTTCAATTGATTATTTTAGAGGAATCTATGATAAACCAAAGCCTCTTGGTACTAACCTCCGGAAAATCCTATTTCCCTCATAGACAGGGTCACTGAACTGACAAGAAGCATATGAAATGTGCTCAAGTCGATGCTATTAAAGCAATTTCCAAAACAGCTTAATCACACTGGGCTTGTGGTTTTGCTGCTGCCCTTGGTAAGTTTTTGCAGGCGAGATATAAAGTTAGTATATGTCAGTCCTACAGTTCCAAACTTGTCTACCACAGCCCATCAAAATTTTTTTGGACAAAGGAACTCCAGATTCAAAAAGAAAAAAAAAAAATTTTTGAAATTCTGCACACTTCCTATTCCTCTTGAAGATATCCTGCATAGATCTTAGTCTATTAAAGACACTGAGAAGTTCTGTAGTACATTAAGCTGTACTGCTTTGTTTAACTCAATTTCTTGATATTTTCTTCACCACAGACTCTATTTTTCCTCCTGGAGCATTTATTAACATCTTGTGGAACAAAGCATCTATAGAAACACAATTTGGGAAATACTCCATTAGCCTCTGTTGACCATCAAAATTCCAAATATAGTAGTCAGTATCCCCTTTAACTGTCTCTGCCCTTCTGCCTGCCACTGAGGTGGCTGTGGGCTGTCTGGCCCAGAGTGGAAGCACCTGGATTCTCTCTGCTTCATTAGGCCTCTCACCCAGTCCATGGTGCCCAGTGGTTTCCTGTAGATGGAATGGGTACCCGAGAACTAGTGCCATGGAAATGAGTACATGGTTAAAAGCAGTGCCAGTGTTTTTGTAGCTGTGGCTTCCTCCTGAGAGGCCTGGTGGATGCTGAGTGCATCATCCTTAGCCAGACAGAGGAAGGCTAGTGGAGGATTTAATTGCTTCCTTCATGTTTGTGACAGGGTTTTATGAGACAGCTGTTAAAGAACCCCTCCTCAACATCCCATGGGCAGTATAAAGGAGATGTTGGCATTCAAATTAAGCAGGGGAGGTTTTCTTTGGATGCAAGCGAGGGTTTCCTGAGGCTTATTTGGTGTAGATAGTGGTTTTTAAAAGCAGGATTTTGATTTTGAAATTAAACCCCACCATTGGCTAACTGAATAAGCTTAAGCAAAGGAACAAGAGTTGTATATAGTCTGTTCCCTCTTCTTTAAAATAATGCTAATAATACCAATATATGTGAGTTGTGAATTAATACTCGAGAGATGCTTAACCCAGTGCCTGGTATGTGGTCAACCCTCACTAAAGAGTAGCAAGT